TTGATTAATGGATAATTCATTGCATCTTGGACAACATTTGCATTAAAAATCCAGATCGGTTTCATCAGAAAATTATTCAATAGAACAGAATCATCATTTCCAATGGTTGATAAACAATCACTAAATAAAAAATAATGTGTCACATTAGGAAACATAGTTGGAATAGTCGATAATTGAAATATATTTGTTGCACCATCATAAGATAGATTTGTTAATATATGATGAATTTGTGACCAAGCATTTGGATCAGATAATTGAAATAGATTCGCATCTTCTAATACATTTCGAAAGATAATTAATGTTAAACTAATATTAATACCATTTAATTTCCAAATATTTAACATTTTCTCAAGAATATTTATTTCATAATTACGATTTTCAATATTAAATCGACTTAAACTTCCATCCCATAATATACAAAGTGATAATGTTTGTCGAGAATTAAACATTTTATTATTTTTCTTTGATATTGTTGGTGGAACATAACATAAAGCAAAATAAGCTTTATCAGGATTATCAATATCCACTTCCACACCACAAAGTGATTGTGATGCACTAAAATTTTTTAGCTTATATGAAATATATTGTTCATCTTGTTGTGGTTTCACATTAGTGAGATGAAGTTCAGAACAATATTTACCATTTGTTTGAATAAACTGTTGATTAGAATTCCACTTGGAAATAAATGTTGGTTTTGAGTTATTTGAAGTATCTGAACAAATTAATTTAATATCTAAACTATGAAGAGTTGTTGTAAAATAAATTGGAATATGAAAGACGAAACTATCATTATCGATCTGTGCTTGATCTTGATAAATAACACGAACAATTCGTGTTCCACCAGCTTCGATTGGATATACTCTTGTACGAAATATATTTCCTGCAACCATCTCAACAAAACCAGGATCAACTCCTTTTCGAACTTCTTTTTCAAATGTAACACGAGCTTTTTCTTTTTCAACAACAACACCATCAACAATTCGACCATCAACATCAAGACCTAACAA